CATTCCTTTGGATGATCCGACTTGGGTGCCGGAGATTGCATCATCACACCTGCTGGTAGGGACAATCACTACGATCGCATCGCACGTGGACTGCGCTCTTGGGCGCGCGTGGCGTATGCCCATGTTCCACCCTCAGCTGATGGCGGCGACGGCGATGCTGGAGAAGTTGCAGAAGTACTTCAGCGCGCTGAACGAAGCGGTGCTAGGCAAGCGGTTGGGAACTGCGCCTTTCAGCATGATAGCCGGTCACCTCGCTCCGGAGTTGCGGACTATCCCGACGAGGGAGCAGATGCCCGACACGCTGGCGCAATCAGCGGCTGAGATTATGCTGTCTCATGTGTCGGCATTGTCCCATTCAGGGTCTACTTCCGATAGGAAGGAGATCCTCGGTAAGGATGGGCTCCCGTTCGGGAAATCATGGTTCGAAGATGACCCTGAAGGGGCCACTTGGCCTGGACACCATATGGCTGCACTTGTGCCCTGGGTGTGCACTCCCGGTCTTCTACCCGAACTTCATCCCCAACGCGGACGAAAGTGACTTCGAGAGATGCCACATCGTCCCGGAGTGGGTGAGGAGCATGAGGCAGTTCAAGCCCAAGAGGATCCCATCCGAAGTGGTCGGAGTTATCAAGAGGAACTTGATTTCCTATTCAATGGCGTCTGACCTGAGGATGACGGTGCAGAGCGGCATCAGATTGCCCCCTTATCTTGGTGAGGACAAGGGAGGAGTCGATACGGCGTGGGATGAGCTGGCGAAGGTGCTCTTCCAATTCTCCTATGTGTCAGGGATTTCGGCCTCGGATGCGTTCGTGGAGAAGTGGGTGGCGAAGCACCTGATTAAGACCAACCAAGTCGATAGATTTGATTCGGTCACTGAGTACTTCCGAGCTAACCCGGTGCATGCTGCTCAGTGCGGTAGGCGTATGACGACTTCCGTTAGGAAGTTTGCTCGCCATGACACGTACTTGTCCTTCTATATCCCGATGGCGTACGTGATTGGCTCCGCGGCGGGGCATCTGACTCCGTTGTATCCGACTCATCGGAAGGACGTGGACATCCTGGCCAGTCATGCGTTGATATCGGATTTCAGGAAGTACATGGTGTCAGAGACAGGGTACGATGAGAAGAAGAGATTGAAGGAGGCGATAGCCAAGGTGCAGAAGGCAATCAGTACCGGGCAGTCGGAGCTTCCGCGACCCATTCGTCTACGTTAGCGACGAAAGGGTGAGGACGGTTCTTGATGGTCGTCAACCGGAGCCATTGGACGTGAACATCGAAGGGCTTCAATCGGTGCATCATGCTACGCAGGGTCCTGGTCCTAAGCAGGAGCCGATCGTCAAGGGCGGAAAAGGAAGAGGGAAGAAGGGGGAAAAGGGCGGTAAGGGCGGTAGTCCTTCCGGCCCACCACCAAAGTCAGGTGAAGTGCCAGGAAAAGGGTCTGGTAAGGGCGATAGTCCATCTGTCTCACAGGCAAAAGCGAAGGCTGATGCTGGGCCGGCTCCGATGGAGGTTGATGCAACTGTGGCTCAACCAAAGAAGACTTGGGTCGCGATAGCGGCTGAGGGAGCCCGGCCGAGTGCAAAGGCTAAAATGACCCCGGTTCCAAAGGCCGAGCCAAAAGGGAAGGCCGCTTCAGTATCTGAGGCGAAGAATGCTCCGGCTCCGAAGGCTGAAGCTAAGGAGACGAAGCAGGCCGAACCGAAGGTTGAGGTCAAGAAGGAGAAGGTAGGCGGAGACGGCGCTCCTGGCGGTAGTCGGGGGTCGGCCGAAGGGCAGAAGAGAGAAAGGAAGTCGCGTTGGGATCCTGATGAGGCCGTGAAGGAGTCAACGAAGCGGGAGGCATCGACGAGGCCTGATGACGTTGACAGCAGACCGGGTGCGGCAGCGAGAGAGGCTAGTGGGGATGATCTCCACTCTGCGCTTGGTAGGTCGTCGGCAAAGCGCCTCTGACGGCCTCCAAGGCAATGGCGAAGAAACCTGAAGGAGGTGAGATCAGGTTGCAGCCGGCTGAGCGAACTGCGGCGAGCCCGGTGGAGGGTCACTTCCTGGTGCTGCCTGAGAGTTCGGTGATGGACGCCCTCTTGTCGGTTTCCACCAATAGAGTGCTGAACAAGCAGGTCAGGGATTTCATCAGAAATGGTGAAGAAGCTTCGGCACTGGAAGCTCTCAATCAGATCGTCACGAACTCTCGTTCTGGGAGGAGACGCAGAGACTCGGACGTCTCCCGCACTCCGTCTCGGAGGTCCGTTAGGACTGTGGACACCAGGGATTCCAGAGAGTCGAGAAAACGCAGATACCGTCCGCGGCGCGAGGATGATCGTGACCGGAGGAGGGACGATGCCCGTGATCGTCGTGATGATGATTCACTCGATCGAGAGCGAGAACGAAGGCGAGATGATCGCAGGAGATCCGAGAAGGATCGTGATAGGGACCGTGCGCGGGGCGGACGTGACCGGAGGAGACGTGACGATAGCCGATAGGCCGAGTCACGAGGATTGCGGCCGATAGGCTTGCGTCCATTCTCCAATGGTCAGCGCGGTGCGGAGGTGGTGATGTTCCTCCCGAACCGCTGAGGCGCGGAGATCAAGTCCCTCCCGTACCGCTGCTCGGCTGCTGGTCGTGTTCATCATGAAGTAGTGTGAGTGAGAGGGAAAGCAAACTAATGGGGGGATACTCCCGGGTTTGCGGAATTCAAGCATTTTTCAGGTACGCATGGTCAGGAGTACCTCTCGCCGATAGGCGAGGGTACTTATGGACATACGTTATCCTTTGTTTCATGGCTTCTGATAAGATTTAAACTTCTTGCATTGTTGATGCAAACAGTTGTGGCCTAGTGCCGTCATGTGGACTCTTTCACAAGGTATGTTGGACAGCGTTACCCCGATTAATTCGGGGTGGTGGCGGGAGTTTAATGCCCGGGATGTCGCGCAACTGCCTTTGTGGGTTTGCTCCACCGCTGACGGCGGTAGTGTCCAGCTGTTTGCGGACACATGCGAGCAGTTAAATCCTATCAGTAAATGGCACGCTCCGCCCGTCATATGACGGACTCCTCGTGAGGGGGGTGTGTAGCCATGCATTTCAGGTGACTACCGGCATGTTGCGATAGCAACTATCCGGTGCCACTTTGGCTCAAGTTTGCGGGTCCGTCGCGCCTCGGATGAGCGTCGCCGGGTCCCCGCGTCGATCACCTTCGTGTCGGTGGAGAAAGAGACATCGGCCCGGGGCAGATTGGTGGGGTCCGCCCGTGCGGTTCATCGTCGATGGTTGCGGGTACTTGTTTACTTGTTTTGGTATTTCCCTTTTGGTTGTTGTTCTCTGGTGTGTGGGAAACCCTGATCTTTGGGACCGGGGATTGGTTTGCTTTTGGGGAACCTTTCTTTTGTGGCTTGTTTACCCCAACTTACCCATTGCCTGGGCACAGGCTCGTGCCCGAATCACAAATTCTTCACGTGGTTTGGGGTAGATAATGTTAATGCCAGGTTTTGATTGTGACTCAAACTAGGATCCAGCTCCCAACATGGCAAGGCTTTCCCTTTTTGTTTTCCTGTAATTGAATACCAACCGCAAAGACGTCCTTTTTTGATCGTCACGTGGGTTTGTCTCATGGGGAACATCCTCAAAAAGCTGCCTTCAAAGCGGGATACCACCTGGGCTGATTTGTTTGTCAACTTTGCAACATCAACTCATTTAGCCCTGAATTGGTTTGATGAACCACTGGTTGTTTTGGAGCTTGGGAGAGAAACTCATGTAAACCGTTCTGGGGGAGACTCCAACCCCTCACATCCACTCAGGGACCTGGTTGCATTGGGCGTGGCGTGAGGCTTCAGAACCAGCACCTCTCCGTGGGCCATGCGGCCGAAATGCCTTTGAGGGACCTCTTCCATGGCATCAGCCAGTGCCTCGCCGCCGAAACGCCTAAAAACGGACGTCGGACGCCTAAAAGCTCTAAAGATCCGGTTGGGTGTATTCGGTTTTTTGGAGCTGCATGTGTTTTTGGGAATTTTCGGTCTTTGAACCACTATGTAGAGGGCCACTTTGACGATGTCGTTTTAATGCACCCAGCAATGTCAACTTCGGGGGATGGTATTAGAGTCAGGACTGGTGAGCCACAGGTATCAACCTAGATGAAGGATAGTCAGGGAAGTTTCTGACCATAAAGATAGGCGCGGATATCCGCCCTGTTGCTTCTTCACAATGCTTGTGTGTAGACTTCTTCAATCTCAACTGTTGATCTTGACTCAGAATAAAAGGGACACCACTAGTAGACTGTATATTTCGTAGTTAGGCAACTAGGCCTATTTCCGGTCGTGTTTAGCTGGCTGGTCTAGTTATCGAGATGAACTTTGCCATTAATCGAATCGACCTTCTTGAAGCAAAGCGAACCTACAATGGCCTGTTGATTTTGGGCAGTTTGTTATTTTCCTTTGACTTCCCTGCAAACCCACCTCAACAAAGAGTACCCGCCACAAACACCCGCTCACATGATCGTTGCAAGATCGTGGCTAGGGCCACCATTGGGTTTTCCTTGCATGGGGCGAGTTGAGGATGCGTGATCCGAAATTAGCTAACGGTTGTGTGGAGAAACTGGCCCGTGTATCCAAGGGACTGTGCTGGAGCTCCTTTGCACCAGAAACACACTCAGACAGACAAGTCCGGAAAAGTGCAATGGCGTCCGAACTTAAAACCTTGAGCTTGAGGGAAGCTTGACTTGCGGGTGCGATAGGCAGGGAATGAGAAATGGAATGACCCCTATGAACCATTCCCTATTCTTTTTCCCTTCAGGGGACCAAAGCCTGGGTTCATTCAACCACATTCCACACTGAGAGCCAGCAAGTCTCAAGTGTTTTCATTGATCACCTTTTGGGCCAAAGTGAGTTTCGTGTTGGGCTAGGGGAAACACGGGAACCCTGGAAAAGCAACCCTTCGCCTTCTCCGAATTCCTTTCAGGCTTCTGCAGGAGCCCTCGGGTCTGCCTGGCCTGTGGCGGGGCAACTGGTCCAATGTGCTGCGGGTGTTGCCCACCTATGGCGCGAGGCCGGCGCCACGCTTCGAAACCGGGTGCTTTGCGATTGGCGGATTTCGTGTTTTTCTAGGTTTTCCAGTGCCCTTTTTATCAACTTGTTTGGGGGAGGGTTCCCCTACAAAACTAGACTACAGAAAATAGAAAGGGGACCCTTATTCTAACCTCTCTACTGGAGGACCTAATCTTGTGTCTGTTCCTGGACCTTCCATCGTTACATAAATGTGTGTTTAAAGCAAATAACAAGCTTGTGTTTGTGTGTTCTTATAGTTCCCCACATCTTTGTGTGGGGTTCTTACTTTTTCCGCTCGTCGTCCGCGCGCCGCGTCTCCTCCTTCTCCCGCTCGTCTCCGTCTCACTCACTCACTCACTCACTCACTCACTCACTCACTCACTCACTCACTCACTCTCACTCACTCACTTACACTCACTCAACTCACACTCACTCACTCACACTCACTCACTCACACTCAGTCACTCACTCACTCACACTCACTCACACTCACTCACACTCACTCACTCACACTCAGTCACTCACACTCCACTCACTCACTCACACTCACTCACACTCACTCACTCACTCACTCACGCTCACTCACACTCACTCACTCACACTCACTCTCATTCACTCACTCCTCACTCACTCACTCACTCACTCACTCGCTCACTCACTCACTCACACTCGCTGACTCACGGCAGCTGTCTAGAGGGACAGGATGTTGTCGCGCGCGCGGCGGGGGGTGTGCGAAATCGTGGCAGGCGCAGCACTTTGGCGATGCCGTTGCGAAATCGTGGCAGGCGCAGCACTTTGGCGATGCCGTTGCCGAAGTCGTGGCAGGCGCAGCATTCTGTGCATCTGGGTGTGTGTTTGTGTGGCAGGGGTCGCATTCGGCAGCTGTCTAGAGGGACAGGATGTTGTCGCGCGCGCGGCGGGGGGTGTGCGAAATCGTGGCAGGCGCAGCACTTTGGCGATGCCGTTGCGAAATCGTGGCAGGCGCAGCACTTTGGCGATGCCGTTGCCGAAGTCGTGGCAGGCGCAGCATTCTGTGCATCTGGGTGTGTGTTTGTGTGGCAGGGGTCGCATTCGGCAGCTGTCTAGAGGGACAGGATGTTGTCGCGCGCGCGGCGGGGGGTGTGCGAAATCGTGGCAGGCGCAGCACTTTGGCGATGCCGTTGCGAAATCGTGGCAGGCGCAGCACTTTGGCGATGCCGTTGCCGAAGTCGTGGCAGGCGCAGCATTCTGTGCATCTGGGTGTGTGTTTGTGTGGCAGGGGTCGCATTCGGCAGCTGTCTAGAGGGACAGGATGTTGTCGCGCGCGCGGCGGGGGGCGTGCGAAATCGTGGCAGGCGCAGCACTTTGGCGATGCCGTTGCGAAATCGTGGCAGGCGCAGCACTTTGGCGATGCCGTTGCCGAAGTCGTGGCAGGCGCAGCATTCTGTGCATCTGGGTGTGTGTTTGTGTGGCAGGGGTCGCATTCGGCAGCTGTCTAGAGGGACAGGATGTTGTCGCGCGCGCGGCGGGGGGTGTGCGAAATCGTGGCAGGCGCAGCACTTTGGCGATGCCGTTGCGAAATCGTGGCAGGCGCAGCACTTTGGCGATGCCGTTGCCGAAGTCGTGGCAGGCGCAGCATTCTGTGCATCTGGGTGTGTGTTTGTGTGGCAGGGGTCGCATTCGGCAGCTGTCTAGAGGGACAGGATGTTGTCGCGCGCGCGGCGGGGGGTGTGCGAAATCGTGGCAGGCGCAGCACTTTGGCGATGCCGTTGCGAAATCGTGGCAGGCGCAGCACTTTGGCGATGCCGTTGCCGAAGTCGTGGCAGGCGCAGCATTCTGTGCATCTGGGTGTGTGTTTGTGTGGCAGGGGTCGCATTCGGCAGCTGTCTAGAGGGACAGGATGTTGTCGCGCGCGCGGCGGGGGGTGTGCGAAATCGTGGCAGGCGCAGCACTTTGGCGATGCCGTTGCGAAATCGTGGCAGGCGCAGCACTTTGGCGATGCCGTTGCCGAAGTCGTGGCAGGCGCAGCATTCTGTGCATCTGGGTGTGTGTTTGTGTGGCAGGGGTCGCATTCGGCAGCTGTCTAGAGGGACAGGATGTTGTCGCGCGCGCGGCGGGGGGTGTGCGAAATCGTGGCAGGCGCAGCACTTTGGCGATGCCGTTGCGAAATCGTGGCAGGCGCAGCACTTTGGCGATGCCGTTGCCGAAGTCGTGGCAGGCGCAGCATTCTGTGCATCTGGGTGTGTGTTTGTGTGGCAGGGGTCGCATTCGGCAGCTGTCTAGAGGGACAGGATGTTGTCGCGCGCGCGGCGGGGGGTGTGCGAAATCGTGGCAGGCGCAGCACTTTGGCGATGCCGTTGCGAAATCGTGGCAGGCGCAGCACTTTGGCGATGCCGTTGCCGAAGTCGTGGCAGGCGCTGCATTCTGTGCATCTGGGTGCTCTGTAATCGCATCCATACAAGGGGCGCACGGTACATGTGTGTGGACATTTGAACTCACATCCTTGGGAAAAACATAGCATGTGGGGTTATCCGGTCCTTTAATTTGTGTTTTTTTACATTGCGGCAGGGATCGGTGACTGCGCGCACCGAGCGGACCGAGTGCACCGAGTGGTACGTACATGCTGTGACGGTCGACGGAGAACTCGTCAGAACTCGCCCTTGCTAAGACCTACCTCGCATGCTGCCAATCAGAAACTGTGATGCCTTTAATCTCTAGCCAGTTTCATTGATTTCCATGCAAACCATGCCCTGCGCAAGTCACGTAAGATATCGCAAGACCAATAGCGTCAGCGATTTCGTGGGATCCGCCGAACGCACAGTGAAGCGCCACTGTCAGAATGTGTTTCTGAATGCGGTCTGGGAGGCTTGGATGTTCAGACAATTACCTTTTCAGCAGTGGCACCCATGCCAATCTTGGCTCAAGTGATTGGCCCAAAAATGGCTGGTTGGCTTTTTGCCTGCCCGGCCCCACCCTTATCGATTTCAAAGCGTAGAACATCCGTGAACTGGCAGCTCTGTTCTGTGGGTGCTCCAGCCTGTCAGAGAATAACACATGCTGCAAAATCAACAAGCTCCAGCGCCACAGAGGAGCACTTTCTTGCTTCTGGCCCGGTGCTTCACACGCCATTGTCTCCGGGCTCAAGAAGGCGTTGTTGCTGCGCTCAATGCCTGTGCCAGATCACCAGATCAAGTCAACTGGTGACCTGCTTCAGGTGCTGCCCACCAATTTGCAATGCATGCTCTGACACCGGAGCAGCTATCCCCATCCACATTCTGAACGCATGCGCTGGATGTGTTAGAACGCATATATAGCACTGATCATTGCAGCAGCAGCAAGGATGACTGTGCTGCGCATACACACAGCGTCCAACAAGTTGCTACGCAACGAGGCACGAGCTTTACTGGGATGAACCGCGAGTTAGCCAAGCTTGCGAACCTCAAAAAAACTCATTTGTTGAAGCCCTCTGGCTCCAACAAATCGACAGCACACTATTGAATTTCAGGAGCATGTGCTAACCAGACTATCACGCACCCTTGCAAGCTTGAGGACACGAAAGCTTGCAAAAACTCAGTTTCCAAGGACAGCAAAGACCAGCATGAAAACGCGCATCCTTGAAATATCGAAGTCTTCCCATATTGTTGTCTTGCACTGCTTGCACCATTGGAATGACTCTGTAAGCCATCCAGCGTCAACGGAGCCGTGTTGATACTCTTTGGCTGGACACGCCCACCAGTGGCCTGGTAAAGGCAGGCGTGGGGACCTGTGAAACGGCAACTTTCTGCGAGTGGGCACGGGGCGCCTTCGACGTGGGGATGGCATACTTCACTCCCTGCGCCCCACCCATTCTTTTCACTCACTCCATTGTCTGCTCCGCTCCGCTCCTTCGCCTCACCTCAACTCACCTGACACTGCCCGCCGACACACCCGATCCACGCCCGCCTACCTACCCACCCACCTGCCTGAATTCTTCGGTTGCTATTTCAAGGGTTTGGGAACTTCGCCGCATCCTGAGGCGTTTGCCCAGGCAACTGCCGCGCGCTCGGTTCGCCTTGTTTTCAAGGCTCAGTAACCATTGAAAAAGCTTTGGCTCAGTTGACGTGAAAGGGTTTTGCGAGTCGATCGGCAACTGAGGGGTTGCGGTTGGGAGATATCCTACTCCTCTACTCCTCGACTCCTCTGACAAATTATGACATGAGATAACCAATGCCTGGAATCAAAGGAGTTTACCAATGACTTATACTGGGGGACAGTAACTGCACTAAAGCAATCTCAGCCTCAATTCTTCCCCATGCACTTTACAGTGTTGAAACACTAGTGCCGTCTGGCCAGAGGTTGAAGAACCCTCGCTCTCAGCTGGGATATGAAAAACGTAAGTCCTTGCATGGCCTGCTCTTGTCCTACACCACGTGGTCGATCTCCTCCTTGCCGTGTGCATTCGAATACTTAGGACCTTTCGCCGATTACTCGGGGACCACCATGAGGTTGTTGACATGGTTTGGGAACGAGCCAGAAACCTCCAGAACTGCATGACAGCAGGTCGCAAGAACCTCCGGCGAGGGCCTGCCTTTGCCCTTGCACGAGTCGCTACCTGGATCTGGATGAAGTCCACACTCAAACCCAACTTGCAGGCAATCAACAAGAGGACATCATTCTCAGCCTCCAGTCGATTGGCTGACATGCCAGGGGTTGGGAACAAGAGAAGATCAAGAGCCTTGGCAGGATTGGATGTCTGGACTCACGGCAGAGCAAAAAGATGAACTCGTGCTCCCAGTGCTTCTTCAGTTGTGTGGAGCACCGATTCTTGCAAATCCTGATGAAGAAAGAGTTGCTGCCTTTGCGCCCTGGTTTTTCTCTCCCCAACACGTTCAGCATTGCTAGAGTTGGTTTTGTGCCAGGGTGCCAGACCGTGAACAGAGCTGGTAGTCGTTGCGATTCAGGACTATGCTGACTGCTCACGAATTGTCATGACGACAGATAGCTCCTACGCTCGGAATATCACTGAACGCATCCTCTTGAACCAAAACCCGAAAGATTATTAGAACTTTTGCAACTTTGATTTGATTTGCCATGCTTGCTTCATGCTCTCTAAGGTTAATTGTTCCATTCAAATTCAAAAACTTAAAGCCCACCGTGAGTTGGTTGATATTCCCGCCAACGCTTGCGGTACTGCCATTGCAGACGGCAGCTAAATGCCTTCGTGAGGCTGCAGCTGCCCGTGAGGGCAATCCAATCAGTGAATATTTGGCCCAGTATGACTTACAGGTCAAGGCCATGCAATTTGCCGCCCATATGCAGTGGTCTCGGAACGAGAAGGCAGCCCTTCGGAAAAAGGAACAGTGCGAGGAAAATAGCGTTAGCATACGAAAAAGTTACCTCACTCAAGAACATTCTTCCAATTGGACATTTGAGAGGCCTCATCCAGAGGCCTCAACTCATGCATGACATCGCGACGGCCACTTCTGTCAGCAACAGCTTTCTCGCCTCCAAGAACTACTCCCGCAGTTGCTTGGGGAACCGATGATTCCAAAACTTGCACCACTTGTGTTTCACTTCGACACGGATTCAGCTCGCTTCACAGGGGCGGGGGTGGGTTTGGAAGGGTACAAAAAAGGAGTTACCAATGACCATGTCAAAATAGCCGCACCTATTTGGGATTGGGACTGTTCCCCAAGCTTCAAATACCCAGGTCAGGTGGTGATTGTGGCCCACATGGAAGCATAACATGGCTTCCCAAAAAGGCTACGTGACACTCCAAGGTGTTCTTCAGGTACCTTCCGTTCTTGGAAAGACGCACGCCGCACATGGCAACTTTCGGGTAAGACTTATCCAGAGACACTGCCCGAGCTTGCCACACACTGGCCTCCATGGACAGACACAACACACAGACAGCAGACCCATCAGCGCGGACGAACGTAAGACGCTGGTCCGCTTCCACCTGGCAAAGAAGACCAGTCGCACCGCTGGAAATCGTCCGTGTCCACAACGCAACGACACAAATGCGCAGACAAACCTGTTCTGTCTCCTAACTGGAGCCAATGACATCTTTGTCCTTCATCCGTCAGTGGCAGCAGATAGGAGAGAGCACAGCATAGCGAGGCTGTTCGGAGGCAAGGGTGCAATCACTTGACTCCTCGGTGTTGAGTGTCCGATGTCAGACCGCAAATTTGCCGGACTCTTTTTCTACCAGGCTTCACCACCTGCCGCAAGCTACATATCGCATTCGGTCTGCCGTTTTGGGCCGGGCGCCGCGACCAGATGTATTTTACACAAGTCAGAACTACGCACACATCAGCGTGCCTGATTGCATTAGACTCAATTAGACGCACTTGCCTTTTCTCACTGCGAAAGATAAACACACACACCCAAACATAGATGTCGGCGCCATAATTATGCGCATGCTCATGTTTATGCATATATCTACCTATATTTTACATGTTACATGTGCGCGATGTATTCAACATATGGTTGCATATAGCGCGCTGTTTTGCAGGCGTGCCACTTTTCCTTTGCCAGCCTACCGCTGAGGACACCATTACTTTTGACAAAACCTGTGCCCACATGAAGGCACGTAGCGCGGTGCCACCGCGGCGCCACGCGGGATGAACGAGACAAGACACCTGACAGGTAAAAACCGTTGAAAGCACAGGGAAACACCTTTGCTTGCACCAAATGTTTACCCCGCAAGCGGCCAACCTGGCGCACGCCGCACGCCCAGCGAACCGGTGCGCGCAGCGTACCCGGCGCATCCGGCGCACCCACCACGCCCGCTGCGCCCACCGCACCCGCGCGCCCGGCGCTACCCGGCGCACCCGGAGCACTCGGCGAACCCGCCGCACTCGGCGCGTTGAATTTCGGCAGTCGCGTTTCCCCGCCGCATTTTTCCTTAGATGAATAGACAAAATGCGTTTGTTTTCTCAAAGTTTGTGTTGGTTTGAATGTTCGGGCTCGCCGAGAGGTTATACGGGCTTGTGAAATTGCTGTACTTGAGCATCCAGTTTTGAAATCAAAGTAACTGGCAAGGTACAGGGATGGTTCACAAAACCAAGTGTGGCGGAGCAGGGGCAACCCTGCTGCAGCGTGAAGCTCGTGCAAATCATAGCTGACGCAACCCTTCAACTTCAAGAGGCCCTGAATGTGAAAAACATACTGAACTTGCATTCATGAAAGGGACAATGTTGTTTTTTTGGGCCAATGTGTTTGAAACGCTGGCTCTCCACCATGCTGCTCGGTGTTTTGACCTTGAATGCCCTCCTTCGCAGGTTACTCACCTTCAGCCCCTTTGGAACACATAGTTTCCCCTCAACAACCTGCAGCAAAGAGCTTCGCAGTTTGCAGGGGTCAAAGGCTAATCCAGTGAACATGGGCCCAGGGGTCGGCAATTGTTTTGCGCGAGGACGAAGAAACCCACATAAACATTCGTTTTTTCGGTTTTGAGACAAAAAGTCTTAAGCCCCTGTCTGGGGAGTCTAGACCAAAAGTAACGCCTCCTTCCTTTTGGGTAACATAGCCTCACCCAAAGGAAGCCACCCATTCTGGGTTTCGTTTGGGGGTGGTGTCATTGGCGACTTGACAGACTTACACGTCCAGCGCCTTTGTTTGAAGGTGTCTCTGCAAAAATCAACCAAGAAAGGCTGCCCTGTCTGTTTGTCATGGAAGTCCACGCCGGGTCGACGAGCGAGGTTTTGGCTCTTCTCCCTGTGCAACGATGCGTTGCTTGGCTTGGTGCCCCAGAGCGACACTAGGCCGGGCGATGCGTCGAAGCCCTGGTATGAACCCAACCCTTTGAGAAAAGAAAGGCTGCCCCATGAAATATGGACACGCTAGTCCGAGTCAAGCCCAGTCTGTGAACAGGCCTGGTATGTCTTTATGAGGGAACCCCTTTCTGCATCTACCCTTTTGGCGGGAGTATCCGCGCCCTGAACGATTGAAAACGGGGATGTTTGAAAACGGGAATGAGGATGTGATGAGGGAACCCATGGAACCCCAATTGCCTTGAGCGGACGTTCCCCAAATTGTTCCTTAATGGGTTCTTCGAACACCAGAGCGGTTCGGGTGATTTCGCAATACGCATTTGTTGTTTTACGTAAAAGTACAACATGCGAGTGGTTTGCGCACGCCTCCCGAACGGGTTTTGAACGAATGGCATTTGCTACGCCGAATCCTAGGCACGGCCCATGAATGATGCAACAAGAACGTATACATGCATGGGATTACGCAAAAAACAGAAAATAATTGAGTTGAGGAAACCACGTCAGCAATACAGCGTGCGGTCTGCTACGCAAGCCCGAACGGCTTTTGCAGCACCAGTGTTGAAATTTCACCACCAAGCAGGCAAACGATCTTTTCGTGAGAAAACGATGAAGAACGATGAAAAGTAACAGTGTTGGGGCAGAAGTTCGTTGTCACCAGTTGGTTCCTTGGCTCTGTGATTACCAACCAGGTTGCTCAGGGGATGGCGTTTCTTGGACCCGCGTCTTACAATGAAAGGCTTCAAGGTCCAACTGAGTGAGCTATTTCATGCAGGTACAGCGTCAGCAAAATCACCACGACTCAAGGGGAAATCTGGCTGTGGCTCAAAAAAGCGGTACCGAAATAAGCGGAAACATGGACCAAAACCTGCGTAACCCCCCCTGATTAATTTTGAGCCACACCCAGGATGCCTGGAAATCGTCCACTTGTATGACAATTTCCAACACTTCTGAAGCGTGTTGGGCCCTTCTGAAACAAAGCTTGTGCTGGCGCAACTGCATTTACGAGGGAGAGTGCGGTTTCGCGCGAAGTTTGCTTTTCTGTTGAAATTGGCCTAGAATGCCGTAATGCTCAGCTTGGACGCAAAGCTTCTTGCAGGGACAAACCTCAGTTCCGGGGCCAATGCTTTCTGCAACCGTATGGTCATCGTAAGCAGAGAAGGAGAAGAGACAAACGTGTTGCTACCAGTTCGCCAACTGGAATGATACATGAACCGACCTCACACGACCTCACCCCAAATGGCGGTTTATGTGGGGAATAGCTCCCCAACCACCTTATTTCAGGTTGGTGACATATCATAATTCACCGAGATGAATCTCCCTTCTACAGTGTTTGGTGCCACGAGGCTGTGGCTTCGTGACGAGCCAGGATCAACGCGGCCCCGCCCACTCAGCATGGTTTTGGGTGATATTTTTGTATCATGGACTACCCGTCTGGGGAGAGGATGTGGCATCAACTGCAAAAGGCAGAAGTACAGTTCAGCGTGATCCCCTGCAATTTGTTCCCCCTGTATAATGGACGACCCTTCTGGCGAGAGGATGTGGCGGCCAAAGGACAGTTCAGCATGATCTCCTGCAGAAAGAGGATAACCCATATCACTCCAGCAAAAGTTTGCTGAATCCATCAAAACGGTGCGGCTTGCCTTTCAAGACACTGGGGACATGTAGTTATATGTGTCCTTTTCGGGGTTGGCTTGAAGGGAAGTCAAAGCAAAAACCGCACTTCGTGTGAGACATGTCACATACTCAGAGAGTTCGTTTCTGAATCGACAGGCGCTTCCTCTCTGGCGGGGTGGCTGGGGTGGGAGCTTTGGTGCTCACACACCCACTTGCGCCACGGCAATTCCCAGGGCGTAATGTTTTTGGAGGAATCGCGCCCATTTGAGTCCAGGCCCTCGAACTATCGACTGCCCGATGATTGCGCGGGGGCATGGTACGAGTAAGTACAAACCCTTGGGGGTCCATGGGTTCTGTACAGGGTTTGACCTTGGTGGCGCGAAAATTTTACAGTCCCTGGAGGTGTGGAACTTATTTGCCCATGGTGGGTCGGAGTCCGACCTCTGTACATCATCCGGTGCTCCATCACAGAAGCTGGCTTGTCCTTTTTGAGGGTATACCCCTTTTTGGGTTTTAAAGGAAGACCAAAAGGAAACCAGCCATCTTGCGGGTCCCGCTGAAAAAATAGACCCAAATGCTTATTGCTTCCCACCATGCTACAGACCCTCTTGAGGCGTGCATGTCTCTCCTACGAAGTCCTTTAGTAAGCCCAAGCTGGGGAGCGGGGGCCATTCCAATCTGCGAGTTTGTTCTGTATGCCGAGGGGATATTTCGCGATCACCGCTGTTTGACCATCTTTTAAAGGCGCATATACTGGGAACTGGCTCCTGCAGCAACGTGCCCACCCCCCCCCCCCAGAAAGGTGTTCAGATTGCTTAACTTAGAGCCCTGTCCAGAAAGGTTCTAAGAATCTAACCATCTTTCCCGGTCTTTGGTGTGTTCCTTCTTTACAAGGTCGCCTTAAGGAGTTCATGCCAGAAACATGCGTGGGCAACGCTCAAAGCCCCTGTCTGTCATTTAGAAGACGTCCTACCTGATTTGAATGAGGATTGCGGTAACCGGGATCAGTATTCTTCAGCAGAACTCAAAACACCAATCTCTTGGACTGAAACTAGCGGAAGCCAGTCACCCAGCCAGTGAGCGCACTTTGCACTTATTTCCTTGGTGGCTTTCCATTTAGTTTAGTGGTGGCCAAAAAAAGTGTCCACTTTCTTTTGGCTGGTCACTGGCCAAGTGAGCAGTCAAGATATCCGGGCCCCTACTCCTTTCGGCAACAGGTGCTGGGGGCAGGGAAGGGGGTCCTAGACAATCCGGTGGTCCTCAGCCAATCGGCCAAAGCAACTCATTTCTCATTTGGACTTCAGGGCGAAGACGTGTTTCGTCATGAGCTCGCTTTAACAACGAGAGTGCACCAATAGACCAGTATCCCCCCCCCATTGACATGGTTGAAGAAGCAGTCGGGCGCTCGGACTTGGACTTATCTTTGTGTTGGTTTGCTTTGGGTAAACAAACCTTCAAACAGTTCTTGATGGGAGCCGCCGGTGTCTTTTTGTCGACTCGAGTGAGCCAATCGTCGAGGACACCATGCGGACGCGCCTGGCAGCCGCACGTGTCTTCGCTGATGAGAAGTCCTACAAGGGCTTGTCAGACTCCCGGATGGATCAGGAATTGCAGGGTTTCCTTTTTTCCTTCTTTTATGGGTGTTTCTTAAAATTTGAGATCCAATCAGGTGGTTTTTTTTAAAGTGGCTTCCCTTTAAAACCATCCAAAAGGGGGTCCCCGATTTTGAGAAATCCCCTTATTGCGAGCTCACCTAGCTAGGTTCATGAGCTCAACTATGATTGTGCTTTACTCAGGGTTCCGCCATTCTTGTGGGAGTTATTGCAAACATGCGCAGATGCTGCCCTTATTGGCGTTTTGCAATTGGAGATGGCCGTGCCTTGTTTGGAGAGTAGCACGTGGTTCACCTTACCACCAGCTGCATGCAGTTGGCATTTGGAGGCTTTACCAGCTAGGTGAGTCATGACTGAGGCAGTCAAAAGACGGGCATGGGAAGTTTGGCTGGCCCTCCAAACTCCAAGAAACCATCCTGAGCAAGTTCTCCGGCACATTTGCCAACCCAGAAAAGACTGGACAACTTCTTGGAGAATGGAGATGGGTTCGACAAGATGCAGCCCCAGAACCCGGTGTCCATTGCTTGCTTCCAGCACCACAAGACAACCTGTATCCTCCCTGCCGAGGACTGCTTGCGCCGCACGTGGAGAAGTGGCGGCTCGGCACTGTAACGATAAATGGAGGCTCCAAATGAGTTGGACCGGTGAACAGTAAACGGAAGGCACACAAAGCCAGCCAGTGTTTTAGTTTTCAGCACGCCGAATCCGTTGCTTGCTCACATGGCAAGGCGGGATCTCAGGGCTCTATGCTGGGTATGTCGCCAGCATGCTGGAGATTGCCCCCTACACCGCAATCGCCTTCACCTCCTACGAAGGCCGGAGCATGCGCAGAGCAGTACAGTTAGTCCTCCCAACTTCTCAATAGATATTGTTTACGCGTGTTGTTTTGGGAGTTGTCTTATTGTGGTGTTGCTGTGTGTTGCTGTGTGTTGCTGTGTGTTGCGGTGTTGCGACGGGTTGTTGTTTCTTTGTTATTATGCATTTCTCAGGTTGATCTTTGTTTGATGTGGTTGGCGTTGTTTTGTTTTGTGCTTAATTGTGCGTGTGTGTGTGACATAGTGTCTTTTGTGTTGATGTTTTGCTTTATGTGTTTGTGTGCTTGCTTGATTGCTTTGCTTTGCTTTGCTTTGCTTGCCTGGCTTGCCTTGCCTGCCTTGCCTGCATGCCTGCTTGCTTGCTTGCTTGCTTGCTTGCCTGCCAGCTTGAACTCTTGAACTCTTGAACTCTTGAGCGCTTGCTTGCGTGCTTTGCCCCGCTATGTTGGTTGGTTGGTTGTTTCTGGCTGACTTCAGATGGCACAAGCTGCTTACAGAAGACTTGTGGTTTGCGTTGGAAGGGAGTGGACTCCATGTTCACTTAGACTCGATAGCCCCCACCCAAACAGCCAAACGCGCTTTTCCCCGGCCGGATCGGGTCGCCCACTTCGGAGATCGGAGAGGTGTGAAGCAGCGCCTCCAGGGCCACTTGCCGCCCTGGGCGGCCAAGATTTGCGCAGGCGCTTAAGTGGCAAAAGATCTCTGATCCAGGGGGTCCCAGAAGGACCCCGGATTCATAAACCAAGCAGTTGATTGATCCTGGAGTCCCTGGGTGTGATTCCAATCACTTTTGGAGGGGAACACTGGCCAGATTTTTTTTTCTGGGTTGGTTGATCTGGGGTTTATATTAGGAGGTGTGGAGCACCTGAAAATTCCTGTGACACCCGTTTTGCTGTGGCGCCGGGTGCTCCTACTGTTTCATGGGTTTCAATATCTTAAAGGCTGCGCATTTCTCCGAGGACAAGGGCCGAAACTCGGATTGGCTCTCTTTGCTTGCTTAAAGGGATCTTGGCGTTCCCAGCGACTCGGGACATGAAAGGGCCCGGAGAGAGAATCCACCCATAGATCCTCTGGTTTGGTCGATCGCCTTGCCTAATCCGCCGGACCTTTTGGTTTCAAGTTGTCCAGCGTCAGCTCGAGCTCTCGAAAAACTGGACGCTCAGGTCTTATCTCAGAACGGTGGACGCCCTTTTAATGGTTGTTAGTTGAAGGAACAATCAAAAGCAAACCAACTCATGTTACGGACCCCTATTTTGAGAAACACGCATTTGAGGGAACCCCCTTTGATTATCCTGCTTAGAATCTACGTTATGACTGCAGCCTCGAGCCAAGAGACGAAAGAGTTTCGAACTCAAGGCAAATGGGGGGGGGGGCAGATGGGTTCAAACAAGGCGCTATTTGTGACCAGATGGGGGCGATCCGGATCGCCATGACTAAACGGAATAGTCATCATGCCTCATTTTTTTTCAGAACAGAACATACAAAGCTTTGACGAACTTTTCAGGGAGACCCTTAAAGACTGGACAGCTGTGATGGTCCCAAGCCTGAAAGGCTCTTGCCTCTGGCCGAACCAGGACAGCTGTGACTGAGGGACCACTCCCAGCGGCCCCCCACAGCTGCTCTTGGTCGAAACGTGACGAAGGTAACAACTAAGGCTGCTGTTGGCTGGGGGTCAATGCTGCCTTGCTTCCGTTTTCGGTCAGCGTTTCTTCTTGCCATCGCATCAGCCACATGCTTGAGACCCCAGTTGAATTGACATTGTGCTGGCGTGGTCGCATTTCTTAGGGTAGAGCTCAAAGTAAAGTAAGTAGACCAGCACCAGGTCCCCACAACCGGTTCTTTTTCACAAAAAGCAAAAGAATCCCAAAGTTAAAGTCCCAAAACCAGCTGGGCCCTGGGTGCTGGTACCAAAGCCAGCTGGGCCCCCTTTTTGCTGCCAGAGCCCCCCCGTTTTTTTCGTTTTTCCTTCCCAGGCGTGTGCAGCGGCTGTGCGGCCACCGGGGTGTGCTACCCCCTGGACACGGTCCGGCGCCAGCTGATGCTGGACGGAGCCCTCGGCTTCGACTGCAGCGGCTCGTCGAAAAACCCGAAGTTATCCCTGCCAGGACATCCAGATAGCTCAAGGGAAAACGATAGGGGACTCTCTAAACTCGAACATTCTTACTGCGAACAACAAATTTTGACAGAACTTCATATGACTGTGGTTATGAAAAAGTGGGTTATCTCAAAATGGCACCCTGGTAAATGGAAATCACGAACACCTGTGGTCCCCTGGTGGTTTAGTTTTGACACATATGGAGTCTCCAAAAACCTGTTATCCCTAACTTCCCGAAACCCTGTTTGAGTGCGTGTTGGGGTCAAAGGCGCTCAAATTTGAGGTCTTGGGATTTTGGGGTATGGATTTTAGGGTGGACTAAATATGGAACATAATCTGCAAAGAAAATGATGGGTACCCCAGATGTGGGCCGAGTTAGGTTGGGCAACGTGGGTTTTGCTGAGGCTCGGCGCTCGTTTGAGAAAAAGGAAAACTGCAGTTTTGGTGTATTTCAAGGCACTCGCAACGGCAAGGAATGGCTCTGTGTCAAATTGGCTGTGAATTGCAGAAGCCGTCTCTAAGGTGGTTGGTGGACATGAATCCCGATGTACATGATGTTCAGCAAAACGTCCCTATTTAAAACTCACGCCATAAAATGGGCCTGTGTCGAAACATGGACTCGGACCCCTTGTGGTTTGTATTTCAAGGGAAGCCAAGAAGAAACCAACCATCATTTAGGATGTTTTGAGAAACGCCCATGTGTTTAAGCAGCCAGACCCGATTCGGCTCTCATAGGTCAAAGGAGAATGTTTGAGCAACAGGGCATCCACATGTCTCAGCTCGGGTCTCGGGCGCTCTCGGCATCCGGCAGTCAAGTCAAGATGTGTTTCAACCACGATCCAACGGGTCAACACCAACACCCAACAATTCTTGTCCCAGGTCCAAAATCCCAAGTGCTGTCCAAAAAACGGTGATTGGCGGTGCCGGCATGTGTGATTTGTTTGTTGGTTAAAGCGTTACCCCTTGGCCAAAGTCAAAGGAGTTTCCATTGGGCGCGGTGATGTTTGAATGGACAGCTACTAGAGGGCTCTGATGCTTGGGCATGGCTTTCTTCGGCGGTGTTTTACGTTTGTTGTTTGCCAAGCGAGAAATGAGCTTCCTCATTGCGTCATGCTCGTCATTTTCAGCCATAGTGGGCCAATATGGGTTCTGTAACAGGACCAAGCAGGGGCCGGATGTTCCTTGGCAAACCTCCGGAGGGGTCGGTGATTCTTCCGTTGAGCGAAATGTGGTCTGGGCTTGGGACTGTTTGGCGAGCTTTGCTCTCACCTTAGCAGTTTGGGATTTTTTTGCCCTTTGGCAAAGGGCCAAAACATGTGTCGACTTGTTTGCCGGTCAATTCTCGTGAGGATATCACGGCAGCATCGTGCGCTGCTGCAGGAGCCTATGCTCGCAAGGCGCTCCGCATATGAATTCGCCTGGCTTCCGAGGGCTCCTGTCAGACGCGACCATCGACTTGGTCGATGAGCCAAAAGGAAGCCAACCGGAGCCGCCAAGTCTTTTCCGAGAGTCGCGAGGTTTCTCCGAACGTGTGACTTTGCAACACATGTCCTTAAAAAAGGCAGAAGGGGACAGTTGGAGTCCCATAACTTTGAGATGTTGTTTTTGTCTTTTTCTTTCTTTAATGTGCCGAAGTTGGCCCAACGTCTCCTTTTGGATTCCCAATTGAAAGTCTGTCCAAAAAAAGGGAAATGGGCATGTCTCGTTTTGCGAGTACGCCATGGTTTGGTCGTTTGAAAGAGAAACCAAACGGAAGAACCGATCTCACTTTTTGGGGCGAAAGGAAACACCGAACTCATTGTACGTTTTTTGGGGGTGGGGGTTCCCCCAAAAAACGGGCCACCCAAAACGTCGCAACAAATGAGGAGAAAAAAAAAAAACAAAACGAGTCCCGGCCGCTTCCGGAGCTGAGCCCTGTTTTGTTTTTCCCATTCGAGGCGGCCTGGTGCAGTTCTACAAGGGCTGGAGCGTCACGATGCTGAAGTCCGTGCCCACGGTGACCATCACCTTCTTCACCAAGGAGACGTGCATCAAATGGGCCATGCGATTTGAACCACAATCAAAACCCGAGTAGATGAAGGTTAGGGGACAATCCCAGCCACAAATAGCTGCGGCCGGAGCATTTGAATACCGGGTTTTGATTATGACTCATTTGGCGATTTTCAGACTCAAGGTCCTTTCTTGAGGCATCTTAGGTTTTAAAGGGGAACGAAAGGAACCCCGTTATTTTTGTTTAGGCGATTTTGAGAACCAACACGGTTCCCTTCATGCAACTGGTGTTCTCAGTTGCGTGTTTTAGAGAGTGGGGGATACGCAAAACAAATGGAGCTCAGTAGGGAATGGCCGGTGCTGGAATGAACCATTTGGGTTGCTGGGATTCCCGAATGAAGGACACCACTCATGGGATTGTTCATTTTGAGGGTCCCTCCATTTCTCATTCCCTGCTGAACACTTGCGCAAAAAATGGTTTGCCCTTTGCCACCAGGTTGTTGAAATGAATCGCCGAGGACTTCCTGCTGACAAAGCTGCGGCAGTGACTCCAACGGGCGCTCAAGCAGTCGGGCTGGCCTTGTGGGTATTCGTTTTGGCTCCTTTTGGTTGGTTTTGACGGAAAAGCAAGAAGCCCACCAGTTTTGAAGCTCATGTCACGTTTGTAGGTTTGCACCAAAGGTTGGAGGAACATGTCAAACAGCCAGAGGATAAGACGCTCAAGTTGTAGTTTGTACTTTTGATTTGCTTTCTATTTGTGCTGCTTGGGACAGGAACAGCTTGGTGGCAGAGTCATTTTGGTTTGCGTTTGGTTTCTGAGCAGGTTTTCGTTTCATCCTCTCAAACGCGTCACGCGGCTTGCCTGAGCCTCCAAGAGGCGGTTGATAAATTCTTTCGGTGGATTCCCGAAGATCCAATCAGGGGAAGTGGCAGAATGATGAGAAATATGCTTGTTTGCTCCTGGTCCATTTGAAAGGCAGCATTTGGCTCGTTGGCACATGCAAAGGCTGAATCCACTGGACACCCCGGTGCTACTCGCGGGAAAACATCAGGCGAGAGCAGTCCACTAATGTGCAGCACACAAACCGAGATTGAGTATAGCAGAAGGTTCCACTACCGGGTTTCACAGAACGAAGTGATGTCAGGCTTGTTTGCAGGAAGTGATGTCAGGCTTTACAGCAAATCTACGAGCAAAGCCGGTAAAGCCGGGGGGGGCGGAACTCAAGCTGCTTTTGGTTGGCTCCACGGGTTGCTCACCCAACGTCTCCCACCCACCCAGAGAACTACCTCAATCAGCTCCAGCACTGTGGATTCTTCCTAGCTTCCCTTGATCAGACCCAAAGACACTTGGGTTTTGGGTGCTGCTCATGATGAAAGTGGGCAAGGTGGTATTCATTTCTTTGGGCAAAGCCCAGAATTGCGCTGGCAATGGCCAGTTTGGTTGAGAAGCTGCAAAAAGTTTGCGCCAGTCATGAAGACAGGGTTCATGAGCCACCTTCTGCAGTGAAGAGGATGGCCCGCACTGCCCACAAAATTGCTATAATGAAGATTGACCGCTGGATCCCAAAATATTTGGCTGCTCCATCATATTCATCTCTGCAGGTTTCCCTACATTTTCTCGTGCGTTTTTATTCAAAAGTGAGTTTCGTGTAAGGGAAACCAGGGAGCCCTGCCGGGGGCAGCCTTTGGGACGGCCGTAGATCGCCATTTTGAGGCTCGGTTGAGCATCGCCACTGTGTAGGTGGTTGGAAGGGAGCGAGGAGGTAAGCGAAGGAGCTGGTGGCATGATGCATCATGGGTATCCAAATTTGCCGTTCAAGAGGGGGCCTTTGGGAGCTACCAGTTGTGCAAGGACATGGTAGTTGTGGATTGTCTCTTGGTTTTGTTTAATATCACAGGGGTTGTTTCCCTTGAAGTTGAGTTTGACAATGGTGAGACAATGGGGCTAGTTTCAGGAAAGTCAAAAGACACACTTCTGGAGCGGGGGGGTGCATATCATTTCTTGGCAATCCTATGGGAGCAGCTCCCGACAACCTGTTGTCTAGTCTACACTTGGTTTCTACTACCTGGTTAAATGACAAACCATTGTGACTGCTCTGGTAAAATCAGCCACCAATTAACTTTTGGCGCTGCTCAGGTGAGAATGGAGTTCATACAGGGATTGATCTCATCGGGGAACATAAATCCGATGTGTTCCTTTGGCTTCCCTTCCAATCCACCCAAAGGGTACCACATCTAAAAGATCAAGAACTCCCAGCAGGCCCCTTTGTGCTCGGGATTCCCTCCAACTCCGAGTCAAATTGAAGCCGCGAGTCGGATTCGTTTGCGAAGTCGGATTCCTGAGCCGAACGGTACGGAGCGGGTTTCAATTTGTTAGAAAGACGTCAGGGGGTACCCTCTTGAACCATTTAAAGGGAAACCGAAGGAAACGACTGACTTTGTTTGCCCCGATTTTGAGACGAACCCGTATATCTTTTTGCAGGGTTTCCCTGATTTCAGCAGGTAGCTTCCGCATAAATTCGTGAGCCCCGTGGTTTCTTGTACATGGAGGTGATGTGACCTGGTCGCATCGACTTTGTCTCATAGGAGTGAACCACAATTCAAAAAAGTTGATGTGCCTAGCCCATCCGACTGTACTGAGCGGAGGCCAACAGCGTGGGCTTTTACCAGATCACCAAGCCGCTTGGATGCAGCAAGGCTCGCCGCCATCACTGCCCAGCGATTTATAGGAGGGCAAACAGGGGTCAAAGTCCTGCTGACAAAGGCCCCACAGCAGGAAATTCATGTCGATCCAGATTTGTAAAAGCTAGCATAGATGCTGTGTTTTTGTTCGGATTTGGTTAACTAGATGGATTCCAACCGTTTCGTGTTGGTTCCAAGCATTTACGTGTCTTGTGATTCTTCCGAGAGAACCCCAGATTGATTACTTAAAGGTTTTCCACCACAGAGTTCGCCTCCCACAAAATCGGCCGGTCGTTTCACCATGTCCCTTGGCGCAAAGGAGGGGCCAGGGGACTTCCAGCGAGTCCAACATTGGCTTCACTCAATGTGTGCTGCTAAAAGTGTGATTGTAGCTGTGCAGTGTCATAACCTGCTTACCATTTAGTGGCCCCGTGGATTCCGCCCCTTTTCGACTTGATTTTTTTTTGGGAACGGGTTCCCCTTGAAAGTCAAGCAACCAAGAAAGGATGCACATTTTTCCGCCTGGCCGCTGGGCGTCTGAGAACCATGTTGTACGAATACTCCACCATTTTCTTGGCCGGGTGGACCCCAAGTCTAGCACACCTCATGGAGGGGTTCATGTTGAGAAAGGCATTGTCCCGTTTGACGGGTGGTTCATCAATCAGGGGCAAGTCCCGAAGCATTGTTCTGAGTGTTATGCTTCGAGAACACACCTTACAACTGAATGGCAGCCGCCCCACAAATCCAAGATAGACTTAGATAGGTATCTTTCCTTGAAGGGTCTTCTTTAAACATAGTCAACATTCCACCCAATTGATCGATCGGTTTGTCAATGTGATCTCACTGCCAGCAGATCAACACCCGCGTCCAGGGCTCGAGCGCATCAGGGTTGGGCCAAATGTGTTCGGCCCTTATGTCCCATCAGCCCAAAGGTTTGTTGAAACGGCGGTTCCAACACCGGCGTCCAAAATCTCAAGTACTGTGACAGCAGCTGGGACCCGCGTCCCGGGTGAACCCCTGTCTTTGGCAAGGGCTTGGCCGCATGCGGCAGGCTGCTGATCATTCCCACGGTGATGGGTCCAAGCCTCGGGGAGGGTGGGGTTGATTCTAGAATTCTATAGTAGAATACCTTCCTAGAATACTTGAATAGGTTGGGGGGGTGGGTTGATTCTGCCTAGAATTCCAGGCCACTCTCTTGTCAGCCTTGGCTCTTTCAGAGCTTTGCCAGGGTGCGTATTATTTTCCAAGGTTTGGGGAGTCCCTGCACTTTGTTGGAGTCCGCTATTTTAGAAAGTGCTCAAATATCGAAACTAAACCTCACAGGGTTTCGGGAGGGACCCTCAACACAGCTGTTCTTTGGTGTGACTTTAGCCCCTTAGACCTCCATTTGCTTAAGAATATGTTTTATTTTCCCTTTTTGGGTTTAAAAGGAATTCATCACTACTGGAAATATTCTCATTTTTTCCTGGGGCCTTAACCAAATGGAAGTAGACCTTTTGGAAACCTGTTTTTCCCCTTAAACCCGAAAAGCTCCGACCTTCCAGCAGTCCAAAATTGGGGATCCACTGCTCGAGATGCTCGCGCCGAGGGCTGCAGAGGTGGCAGGGCCAGCCTGGGGTCTATAGTCAGAAAGTGCCGGCCTCATTCGAAAGGCGACTTCTTGGATTCAGACTCCCCGGAAGAGAAAAAACATCTCGCAAGCTTGGGTGCACATGTTTTCACGGAAGCCGCGCATGCAACCGCTCCAAGTGCGCAGTCAACACCATGGCAGTGTTTTTGGCTGAAGGCCTTACACTGCTTGTGATTTGCCAACGCTGACATTCAATCCGCAGTCACAGACTGAAGTAAGAGAGAGGCAGCCTAGAAAGGGTGCTCGCAGCTTACCGTGATGACCCTAAGTGGCGCTTTTCGGTTTGCTTTTCGGTTGCTTTTAAACCAACAGCACTGCGCAATTCCAACAAAGACGAGGCACCCCATATATGCACTTACAGCAAGCTGATTGAATACAAGTACCCATGAAGGTTCCTTGCTTTCCGGTCTTCAGGTTGGTGAACTACAGTCAGTGCAAGATGGATGCCCCAAAAAGATGCGAGGACAAGAAATTCACTTGCATGGGCCCGAGGCGTGGATTTGTTGGTCTGGCTTGCCACGTAATTTGCACCTGCTTCCAAAGTTAGGTTTCGCCCAAGAAATCCTTTTGCAAGCTAGGTCCCCCAGTAGTGCCCTGTCTCATCCTTTTTTGGGAGAGGGTTCCCCTAAAATAGGCTACAGAAAAAGGGTACCCTTATTCAATTACCCCGGCACGAGACCCCAAACAGTGATAGGCGGCGGTCACACGCTGCAGAGTATTGTGCGGGCAGCGCCGCAAAACGGCGGTTGTTGTCAGGAAGCTGCAACATCATTTTGCGGTATTTGCGCGCACACTCACAAAGACGAGGACACGTGAGACACATGCAGCACCAAGAAGAAAAAAGGCGCACAGGCATGGCCAGCAGGCATGCTCGTTTTTTCTTCCATGAGCAGCACATATCGGTGAGACGGCAGAATCGCAGGACAGGGCGGGAATCGAGCCCGGGACCTTTCGCCGGAAACCTGTGCCGCCGGACCACGAGACAAACCCCCCACGGTCCCTGGAGCTGCCAAAAGCAAAGAAACCGAGTTTGTGCTAGCCTGCGCAATCGAAACGCACTTCAACACCAAGCAAAAGCAAGAATCTGCGGTAAACACCACGCGAAACGCTCGCGGACAGAAGTCGGCACCTCACTTTCTGCGAGCCTGCGCAGTCGAAACGCATTTCAACATCAAGCAAAAGCACGAATCTGTGGTACATACCACGCGAAACGCTCGCGGACAGAAGTCGACACCT